AACACGACGGTTTGTTTTGTTTGCGAAACAGCATACGTAATCCAGTATAATCACCCACGGCATTTAACTTTCCTTATAATGTGTATGGTGTCTTTTTGGTGATCCATTAAACACAGTTTCAAGCAAGCAGTTCCAAACTTCCCAGATTGTCCCTGAATGCATTCAGATAGCTTGTGTAGCTTGTATGTAAATATTGTGGAATTTAAGACTAAGAACTAAGACCATACTGAATTTTGAGAACTGTTGGGAATATGCCATAACTGACAGCCTGTGCTGGGGAATTTGAGCTCTTAACCATGACGTCACAGGGGTCAGATATCATATTATGAATGCCATCTTCATCATTTTATTCAAAGCAATCAGTGGAATCTACTGGAAGTTTTTCCAACCACCAGCAGAGGGGAAAGAGAACCAGGTGCCTCTATAGTAATATGATAACTTGACATATTTACATCAGTATAAATACAACATGCAAGTGCAAATGGATAAAGCACATGGGGATATGGGAAATGATGGGAAACTCATCTGATTTGTTTTATCCTTGGAGGAGAGGTGTTAGCCTACCTAATAACACATGTGTCTTATTCACTGAGCTCAGATCAGCATGCATGCTTGGCAGTGCATGGTGATCATGTTAAAGCTGGGGTAATTCCTCATGTACAGATTTGTCCTCCAGTTCATGCAAGCGATCGTGTATAAAAGCAAGCAGCCCTATTTCACTCACCGTATTTGTTAGGCTCTCTGCTGTACTGGAGGATAGGAACAGCCTCTGGCTCATCTAAATCTCCCTCACCTCCAAACCCAGGTGAGAGCTCGCGGTTATTATCGTGATGATTAAGCTCGCGCTCGTCGCTGTCACAGCACTGAGCCACCGGCAGCACCACGAACCTCTCCGTCATGTTTGTCCTCCGCCTCAATCTCACGGCTGAGCAGCTTTCACGGGTCAGATGGCGCTCGGTGTGCGGCTCATAGCCGGCGGTGCGTGCACTACTACACAAGCGCGCTCGTAACACAATGTACGAGAGAGGCAACCTCCATGCACCCCTGTCAATCCATGCCGCGGGGGGCGGGTCCGACTGCTGATTGGTCGAGCCGCGCGCGAGCCGCTTGTCAGTCAGAGATGAGCGTGAACGTCACAGTCCAAAACAAAGCGCCTTCTGGAGATGGCTCTGTAAGCAATGTCAGGAAACTTTCATTCCTTATTTTTAAAGAAATCTTGGGAAAAACCTAACCTAAACTATGAAAATATTTACCATAATATACCATAATAAAGAAAAAATCCCCACCCCTGAATGTTGATTATTATTATTATTATTATTATTATTATTATCCATCCATTTTCTGTACTGCTTATCCTACACAGGGTCACAGGGAGCCCGGAGCCCATCCCAGGGGACTTGGGGGACAAGGCGGGCGGACACCCTGGACAGGGTGCCAACCCATCGCAGGGCACAATCGCACACACACTCACACACCCATCCACACACTACGGACAATCTGGAAATGCCAATCAGCCTACAACGCATGTCTGTGGACTGGGGGAGGAAACCGGCGTACCCGGAGGAAACCCCCAAAGCAGGGGGAGAACATGCAAACTCTACGCACACAGGGCAGAGGTAGGATTCCAACCCCCAACCACGGAGGTACGATGCAAACGTGCTAACCACTAAGCCACTGTGCCACCCCTATTATTATTATTAGTATTATTATTATTATAGGGCAGTGGTGGCACAGCAGTTAAGGCTCTGTGTTACTTATCACAAGGTCAGGGGTTCAAGGCCCAGCGCTGCCCCTGTTGGACCCTTGAGCAAGGCCCTTAACCCTGACCCCAGATTCCTAACAAGCTGGGATATGAGAAGAAAAGAATTTCACTGTGCTATAACATGATAAAATATAGGCTTCTTCTTTTATTATTATTTGTTTATTTAATTAAAGGCCTTTTATCCAAGAACATACATTTAGGCTTATTTATTAACTATACTCCACAGATATACACACAGAATGTGTTATTTAAGTTTTATTTTATTCATGCTCTCAATTATTTATATAGTTTTCCATCTGAATGGCAGATGCCTAATTCCAGCCAGCTTAAAGGAACTCTGGCATAAAAGTAATATAGTATGCTGTATTATGCTGTAGCACAGTTTTGCATCTCTTAGCCTCAGTGTTTTGGAAGAATTCACAATTTTATATTGTCACATTTATGTACTCAAAGTTCTATCACTACAGTACCTATCATGCTTTACGGAAATGTTTCATACATATCGTTCCCCCTTTCCTTCTGCGTGAGACAACTAGCAAGGGAAATAAATCATTAAACAGCCTTTCTCAAAATAGGTATTACCCTTAGCAATTAACTGCCACCTTGTAGTTGGTTTGCCAACTGTTTATGTGTTTGGGTGTCCTGGTGGTGTTGGTTCGTTAACAGTAGGACTTAATTTCCTCCTCCATTTCCTCCATAACCACAAATGAGCAATTATGATCCGTTCTGTCTGTAATGCCCCTGCCATAAATGACCAGTTAAGAACCAATATGTGGTGGTTTTCATTCTCTGCCTCCTCATGCTCCTGAGCATCCTGTGTAAGGTTGCTGTAGTTGGCCATTTAATACACCTCAGTGTTCATCGCTAATTGCCCCAAATAACATTCCTACGTAAACAGGTTTGTTTAAGGGCAGCTATGATAGGGCATCATAGTTTAAGAGGTATTATAGTATCAGAAATCTCCAACAATTGAGCAGATTTCTCAGCAATACACATTTAAAATAAATTGTTATCAAATACAGATGAGGGATGTACCACCTCCGTTTGGATGGGTATTACATCTCTGGTTAGTATTGTGGTTTTCTGAATTCATGGTAACAAATTTGTGATTTAAATGTAGGAGTGTTTGTGGCTGTCTCTGCACTCCTAAGAGCCCTGAGTCCTTGGAACAGGACATTTAAATTCATCAGATAGACCAGATAGTCACTAAAATCAGAATTGCAGCATATATTTAGTGAAATCTACCAACACCTAAGGTTGAGATACTACTGAGACACAGTTGAGATACTATTGTGATAATATAGTAAAGCTGTATTGTGTCCAAAAGCACAATTATGGTGTTAACACTTTGTTGTGTAAATCTCATCTTGAGTAATTAATCTATTGGATTAATTCATAGCCTTGCCCTAAACATTCTCCAGGGTTATTTTTTGTCACAAGGACACCATTTTTGCAACACCATTAACATGTAAAGTATACCTTAAAAGTGTTGGTTACATTGTGAATTCAATTATATAATAAAAACAGTTGTAGTGTGCAGTGATATCTGAGTGGATAAGGTTCTGTTGGAGTAGCTGGAAAGTTGTAAGGTCTTTACAAGTCTAAGGTCTGAGCAAGGCTCATAACTACTTGTCTGTATGCTTGGATTACTTTACCTCACCTCTTTCAATATTAAAATTCATCTAAATTATTAATTCATTGTGGTACCAGATCACCAGACAACTCTATACTGCATAATTTCATTATTTCTCATTCTTGAATTCTTGAAGGTACGTAGTAGGTAGCTAATAGGACAGTTCAGAAATTTCAGTGAGGGAAAATGACTCCATGGTATTTTAGGACTGGTATCAGTGTTTTCATGGCTTTCAGGACTGTACTTTCAGGACTGGCTTAACTGCCTATAAATCTATTCTTTTGTTAGGGGCCATTGCTAATAATAGTGCATCCCTGGCCACTATGGCCTCAACCCAAAATACTGTGATCAATATAGCCACTCAGCAACAATTGTTCCAGGCGTAAAAATAGCTGCAAAGGTGAAAAATAGCCATTATGTTGCCAACAGATTGTATCAAAGAGTACAATGTTGGAATTACAACACTGTCACCAAACGGTCAGGTACTAAACTGGCAATTTTAGATATACAAAACAACATATCCAGCAACATGCCCATTTTGGAGATTATGGTGATTTACATTTAGATTTACTTTTACAGCAGTTAGACATCCTTATACAAAGCTTGCAGAATTGCTTTGTAGTCTCCTTCAAAAATATATCCTGATGCTAGTACAAATAGGTCAGGGCCAAGAATATTATCATCTAAAACCATATTAGAGAGTAGTACAAGAAGAACAGCACAACTCTAGGGCTTTTCTTTTTAAAGATAAAATCATCAGCCTTAATAATCTAAATCCATGTGCAGGTAAGCATGAATGTGGGTCATGCATAGAGCATGACCTGCACCATATTTTACCACACAGCAGGATAAAACTGGCTTTGTTTTGCATGGATGTCTTAGATGTTAAGGTTAGAGAGATTTAATTTATTAAACAAGTAACCAATAAGATTTAGAATCTGAAGTATTTTTTTTTATTTAAAAAAAATATAACACTCTTTTATAATTTTTGTCATGTATCATCAGATATTTTAGCCAATCATTGAGAGTTTTAATTCAGATTATCTTCTGATATCCAGCACTGGTTTTACAATAGATTCTTTTATTATTATGTAAAAAGTATGAATGAATTTGTACGATTAACTGTACAATCCACATAATCCTCACTCATCCCTAGAAAAGGCTACTAGGCTCTAAGTGTACATTACTTTGTCACTATGTTATGAAACTGGCTGGATCTGAGGGTGCAAATCATTTCCTCTCCAGTGGAGCTATTTCAGAGGCTTTCAGCAAGCTTTTGTTCCTTAACACTCCAGTCCTCTGAAAGTTGATTTCAGCATATCTGTTCACTGCACAGAAGAAAAAGATTGTTAAGATAAAGGGGATATAAATGGGAAAAAAAACAACAACCAGACAATTATGTAACAGGCATGTACGTACATTCTCTATGCTTCTAATATGTGAATGGGAATGGCTGCCTGATGAGAACTGGCTGGTGATTTACTTATGCCCACTGTCTACTGTATGATTGAGCTGGGTGAAAATAGTGATATAAGAAAATGCTAAAAGCCTAGTGAAACCTGATCTAATGTAATTTCATTAACATATTATGCAGTCTGGTGGGGGTCCGTGGAGGACTAGTGGTTAAGCCCCGGCACTCTCGCTGCCGTAGCACGGGTTCGATTCCTGGCCAGGGAACCAACCCCAGCACACAACAGTGCACTCCCAGTGCCGGTCCCAAGCCCGGATAAAATTGGGGAGGGTTGCGTCAAGAAGGGCATCCGGTGTATAACCTTTGCCAAATCAAATATGTGGACCAATGATCTGCTAATGGGAGCAGCCGTACCTCTACAATTTCTCCCAGACAGCAATGAGATCAAATTGGAATAAAAGGCAGACCTCTGCTTAAGCCTCCTGTCTCCCAGCTTTTTCCCTCAGACAAATTACCCCAATGATCTCACATTTGTCTCCTCTTAACAAAGTCTCACACTGTAAATCTGCTAAGTTAATAATGTCATGTTCATTCAAGGTGTACTACAGACATACAAATATATATCTGAAAAGATGTATAGTTTACTTTTGATGTACTATCATGTCACAATATACTTATTTATCAGAGATGTACACTAGTGTATTTATGATATCCTAGTACTTGGAGAATAGTAACCTTTGTAAGTATACTTATAGAGACGTACACTAAATGCCAACTATTCAGTATTTCAGTATTAATATTAATACTAGTATTATTTTAGTTTTAGATGCAGTAATATGGGTGTGAAATGTATGCTAAATATTCAGATCTACTTATTTACTGTCCAAATTAAATTATTTATGTTTTATGCAAGTTTTAATACAATAATATTTTCCTAAAATAAACATTTTATCAAGCATTTAAAATTGACTCGCAAGCAGCTTGACTCTGTCGTGATGATGAGATTGTGTGTTCAAAGCATGGACTTTCTCTGTTTTTTTATTTTAACCTTGGAAAAAGGTCTCATATTTTTGTCTCATTCAATTTTAGGTGAAACATTTGTGACAAATTGATACCTAAATGTTGTTAAATCACTATTAAATATCTTGATATATGAAAAAGAAACATTAAACAAATTACTTTTCTTTAAGGTTTAACTATAGACTGTTTCAATGGGGTAAAAATAACATTTAGCGCTTATTATTGTTATTGTTATTGTTCATTTAGCACCATTTTTAAATGTAAGCAGTTAAAGCAAAAAATTACTCAAATGACTAAAATGACTCCTTGAATCTCCAGAAAAGTGTGGAAACAAGATATATATGAAAATTAATAATAAATGATCAATTGTCATTACCCAATCCTTAGAACACAAATGTGTGAAAATAGCTTTTTTTTCTGAAGTCTTAAAAATTTTACCTAAAGTGACTACCCTATGTGAATCATTACCTTGTTGATAAGGAGTGTGTTTGCACCAGAAAGACAGTGAAAGCTTATCACAGTTAGGTTGTTTGGTTAATTCCTTTGAAGAAAGGTGGGAAATATTTGCTCTTATAATCTTGAAAAATAATATCTTGGATGGCATCGTTATTATGTATGGTTAAGCTGGAACTGTCAAACATTGTCTAAACATACTCAGCCTGGTTCACTGAAGGGGAAGTTATGGCTCATATGGAAGTCTCTATCAATAAATACATCCTCATACTAGGTTCACTAGGTCAGGTCAGGTCAAGTGTATACTCCTTGGCAAAAAAAAATAAAAAATGGGCCAAGCCCAAAATGGCTAAATATTAAGCTTTTAACAACAAATCATTGGTCAAGAAATTAGCAAGAATTAAATGAATAGATAAAGAAACTTAGTATGGGAGAGCTTTTCCCTTTGATTTCTTTGAAAGCCTTGTGGCTCTTGATGGGCTGCATCAGGTTTGGCAGATAACCAAATAATGGCTAATCTTTGACGAAAAAAAACATGCCATAAGATATTTTTGGAACATTTTGTACACCCAGACATGTGTTAGTTTGAATTTTACATCAAACATTTTAATCATGATCATGATTTTACCTTTGTAGACAAGAAGACTATATACACTCTAAAAAATTATCCATGTGGCTAGTGAGAAAAGCTTAAAATAAAGAACAATTTCAACATTAAAAATTAAATTTCTTACATGTACATGTATTAGTGAGTTGACAACTTATTTTATGAGGTTTGTCAAACTGAAAAGAAAGAAATCTGTCTCAGCTTATTAATATATGGATTTTGAACAAACAGTCCTGCTTTCACCTAACAACACAAAAGTATTAAGTTAGTGAAGTTAGCTAATTTGGAGTTAGTGAAGTTGACCGCTAGCTATCATGTGTCTTCAGTTTTCTTAGGTTTTGTTTTACAGCGGCAGCCGAATGACTGTAATCGGCACTGAATGTTTGTAGCATTAGTTCAAACACTGCAAACACAAACACTGAGTTCGATTCTGTTGTAGAAGCGCCATTTCGTTGTGTTGTACTTTGAAGATTAACCGTGTTGTAGAAGTGCCATTTTGTTCATTCTTGCGTCAGTGCTTGAACGATCTTGTAACGTGTTTGTACGAAAGAACATTTTTTATTTAACAATGTTTGATAGACACGTTTAGACACATTTAGACACTAGACACAGTTAGACCAATTTCATTGAATCTACAAATAGTTTGCCTTCGTGTTTCCACCAGAGCGTGATTTAATAAACAATTATCATAAAATTGAAACTGCCGTGTTTTTTTTATTCTGACAGAATTGAAATTAGTTACTATTACTCAAAAAATTAAGGTAACAATTTGCATGGACATTTCTGAGTAGACTGAAAGCAAAATAAATAAGATAAAACAGCTTAAATTAACTAATTTGACCACATAATATCATTAAGTTGGCTCAACTTCATTAAGCTTTTAGTGGACAATTCAAATCATGTTGGTTGTGCTAAAGAAACTGAGTTGGGCTAACTAGAAAAGTCACAATATTTACTCAAAAATGGTTTGAGTTGAAATAACTTAAAAAGATCCATGCAAATTGTTACCTTAATTTTTTAAGTTGAGCCAGTGTATTATTTTTTAGAGTGTAAGTGAATTTCCCTGTTTCTAGCTTTTCCCCAAACAGTTCACTGCAGCAAAAGTAAATGAGCAAATGGTGGAACAGGAGCTCTCAGGAGTGCATTTGTTTAATTCTTACTAATTTTCTGACCAATGATTTGTTTTTAAGACCATTAAAAGCTTAATATTTGCCATTTTGGGGTTGGCTTTTTTTTTTTTTTTTTTGCCCTGGAGTGTATTATCAGTCTTAAAACCCTGTTGGGGAGGTTAGTATAGTATGAAAAAAAACAGAAGACAAGGATTTTTTTTTTTTTTTTTACATTTTAAATAACAGAGTGCTAATTTAAGTACTTAATGAAGAGGTAGATATTTAGTCATCGTTCGAAGATAGCCAGTGACTCAGCTGTTAGGATTTCTAGGGGAAGTTCATTCCACCACGTAGATACCAGAACAGAGAAAAACCTTGAGCATTTGAGCCTTGATAATATCAGGTTTGTTCCAGACCTGAAGTAACATCCAACATCTGAAGAACAATTTTAATTTGCACATCCTGTCATTAAATCAAGCTATCAGTCACATAAAAAGAGGGGCATGGAGTATTGTTCTTTGCTGCTGCTTTGAATGATGTTTACCATCAAATGGATCATTTCTAGGAACAGCAATGTCACTTCCTCCACTCATGAATATTCATTTGAAATGGTGTATAAAACATTTTAGAGAAGCCAAGAAAAAAGTGTGTGATTATAGCTACTTAGCTGGCTAAGCATTTTTAAACTCAACTAATTTTATCCTGTTATTGTGGTATATATATTTATAATATTTTAGCATAATGTAGCTTATGTAACACTATTTACAAAGTCTTTACATTAATTTAACATGTTTTGTGATTGTGTTTTTGTCTGTTAGCTATCTATCTAAAATGAATTAGTAGCTGTAGGTATGCATTTGGCACTTCGCCTCTTTGAGCTTATGTTTTGTTCAGAGGTGTTGATCAGCCAGAGCTCAACAGATAATGCGTGATTGTTTTTAACAAATGGTGCTCATGTCTGACATTAAGTGGCATGCCTCTCGGGCTTTTTCTCAGCTGTTCCTGGTTATTTTGAGGGAATGACAAAGCACAATGATATTTCACATGACAAATATAACCGGCTACTCGAGCTTGGGTTGTATGATTAAATAAAAAAAAAGGATATTTCATAACTTTCTCATTTCTTAACTTTCTCTTCTCTCTTTTACCTTCCTATCTTACCTTACAATGTTTACCTTATTAATATTATTTTTATTTCTTTTATTTTACTGTTATTACTAAGCACCAGTACACCAAGACAAATTCCTTGTACATGGTACTTGGCAATAAAGGTGACTCTGATTCTGACCGGCTCACTGTGGCATGGCTAGTAACAGAACTAGTTTAGGGAAAACCTAAATATTGTCTAGGTTAAAAATTCCACCTCTACAGTGACCTACAGTATTTGCATGTTGTCTTTTTAATAATACCCTATTTTGTAGGCCAGTTTGAGTGGTAACAGTAGCCTTGCTAAGACCACATTTACACGTTACAATTCACAGTCCAGTTGAATTACCAAAACAAGTAGAAGTCAATGCCAAAGCATCAACTGCGAATGCCTTCGTCACCAACAAGTGCAACAAGTCTAGTCATCTAGTACTAATTTGTAAGCCTGAAATACCCTTAAAATACTTGAAACAGGAAGGAAGCTATTGAAGAAAAACTATTTCAGACATTTGTCCTTGCTGTGACCTTGAACCTGTTTGGATCAATTCTAAAATCTAATCAGTTCATCTGCTGATTACAATGATAATAGGATATAAATCCTACAAACATTCAACCACTCATCTGGACATTTAACACAAAATAGGATGGACACATGGACCCATGGAGAATCTGAAAGCATAAAAAAAAGCATAAAAAATACCATAGAACTGCACTGCCTTTTACAGTCATTGTACAGATCAAGTGTAGAGAAAATGGGGTCCTGATTTATGATTAGGATGACCTGGGCTTATTTTATTGGTCTGTAGGAGAGATTTCTCTAAGCCCTATTTCATATTGGAAATATCTTTCAGTTAGCAGCCACCTTAAATTATTGTATCAAATGACCTTTTGGATCTTATTTGGTGAAAATTAACATTCAAACTGATATGAT